AAGGTAAATGAGTTTTTTCTTTTCTATAAACTATCGCCCCCAGCCCCACCTATATACTCATTATTCAGTTTATTCAATGGGAATAGTAACTGTTTATGAAGACATCTAATTGATTTACAGTACTCTAAAACTAACCCTGAAAACGGAATCTCATTCATTTACTATAACTTCAGTGCTGTTGCTGACAAAAAAAGTTACCTTAAGGCTCAAGGGAAAGAAACTTATAAACTGTGAATGCAGTATTGTTCACTATCCCATCCACTGGAAGCTAGCAAAATGCATTCTGGATCAATAATACAAACTTTCTAACATTAGGAAAGATTTCTACTCTTCATACACAGAGTTAGAATAATATTCATAAGCAGATTATCTAGGGGAGCCTGAGAAACCATGATCCACATCACACAAAGAGTCCGTGTATTTCATGATCAAAAAGTGCTTTTTCTTGAGAAGTATGTCAGGGTTTAATGGCAATATACAATGTAAAATCACTCCACACTTTCTCAAGTGAAGTACAAAATGGAAAAGGAGCAAAAAGATGGGAGGCTCTGCCCTCTGAACAGGCCTGATGCATGTGACTTTTAAGGGTGTATTAAATTAAAATAGTTTTTAAAGAGTTAACAGTGGGATTTTACACCACTATATATATTCTAAAACCTGAGATTGGACATCAAAGCAATCAACTTTGTACTTATTAGAGCAATTCTGATACTTCCTAAAAATAGAAGACAACTCAACTGAATTAATAACTCCCAGATCAAAACCATTAAATTTCCCCAATCAAAAAGGAGACCAATCACAAACACATGAAGTGCTAAGAGTGCTGCAGAACGACTCTTGGCAAATGAGTCATTTTTACATAAGCCAAAGTCACTTTTCTCCTTCCCCTTCTCACCAATCAAGGCCACACTATTTTCAAATGAATATCTACTGAGAGATCAGTTGTGCATTAGACAAAGTACCATAATTGGGTTAAAATGAAAAAAAAAAATTTACAGTGAAGAATACTTATGTGCATAGCTTACACACTCAAGCGTCTCCTTAATTTCATCCACCTCAAGGCAAGGTAGACGCAAGCAAATTGTCACCTTTTCATACCTTGTGGAGATCATTCTATACCCCCTGTAGAGCCAGTCAAGGTCACATGTAAGAAAGCATCCTCAGCAACTACAGTGCCTGGAGTGTGCAGCCGTTTACAGACCACTCAATATGAGGGCATTATTATAACCAGCCTCTCTGCCCACAACCCTGCATTTTCAGATAAAACAGGATAATTGTTTTGTTTTGAGAAAACCGAAGCTTGAATCTCTTAAAAGACCTGCAATTTATTGCAAAGTGATCGAGAGGTAACAAAGGAAGCAGGTTAACGGCTGCCGGGACCCACGGCCTCTCAATCATTTTGCAATAATTATGGAAAGTGACCTGACAAGCAGCTGTGTGTCTCACAGCTACAGTCGCCTGCACCACCTACACGCCTCCCGTAGTAACATAGGGTGTCTGGGTTTTGGTTTGGTTTTCGCTTTGCTTTTTGGTGCCATCCAGACTTACACTTTGTTCTGTGCAGCATGTGCACTGACAACTTCCTCTGCTGATGAGAACTGTAGTTCTACACGAATGACAGGTAGGGACAATAGAAACCAGAAAGGAATTATGGGATATACTCAGAGTTTCTTGCTCTTTCAATTCTGTTCCTAAAATTGTGGACTTTTTTCACTTCTGTAACTGCAGCAGCTTGAGAAATGAACATTCTACCAATTATTAGGAAAGACATTTTACTTCCCTATTTCTCTGGAAATTAACGATTTTGAGCATGTCATTAGCTGCAATGTTTGCCAAAGTCAAAAACAAGCCCTAAATCACTGTGTTTGGGAGTGGTTGAAAACAAGACATTTTCTGCCTGCATTTAACAGATTATTTCCTTTAATAAGCAATATCTATGACTGAGTTCTGAAAGATGGCCCGTTAATACCACCTTGTTAACAAACCACACATCAAAAGTGTAGTTTCTATTGTCCCTAGTGACTGGAAGGAGGATCAGTGAAATGCTACAATCAATCCACATCCTTCTGTAACCTTCCTGCAGTAGGAAGAGAGGCCATCAACCACCTTGCAGGAGAAACAAACCTTTGAGATTGGTTAAAACCCACCACTATGACATTTACCACTTAATCTTACATAGGCAGGTCAAAAATTTTAATATAAATTACTTTTCCAACACATAGCTTATGCATTCTTTGCTCCTTGTTTTTGGAGGATTCTCAAATTGATTATCTAAAGATTTACATATGATATATTACTGTTACATGGTCTAATGACTAAGAAGATTTCTCTGGTAACCAAAGCTGATTCCATATATGGCAGTGTTCTTGGCATATATCCTATATGCCTCAGACCACTTCCACATTCTTTCTATTCAGCTAATTATAGCTTAGTAGCCACGGGTGAGGATTGTGAAGACCCTGTCATTTCTACAGAATAGAAAGGCAAGGCTAGTTACTGCAATTTAGCCAAACCAAAGAACAGAAAAAAAGAGTAAACCAACCCCTTAAAAAGGAGAGGTACCGCACCTTTGCAAAATTGAACTGGCTCACTGCAGCTGAGCAACAGAACCACCACGGAAGCAAGAAAACAAGTTGGTCTCTACAGGAATTGTACATGATTTCAAAACAAAAGTTACAGCGGCTAACTAACAGCTGCAACCTTGATTTTCATTGCTGCCTCAAAGTTTGAAACTAAACAGTCTCTGCAAACCTAATGCTAGTTTCTCACCTCCTTCACTAAAACTACTTAGGGGTTTGTTCTCCGCAGCAAAGAAAACACTCAAAACACACAGGTGAATACAGCAGGACATCATTGAAAACAGCTGCCTTGTAGTACAAAATACAGTACAAGTATACGGATGTCATTAAAACATCGAAAATACTATTGCTCCCATACAATTTAGGAAACATTCTTTGCAACGGAGAAAATTTTTAAAAAAAAGAAAAGCTTTAAAAAAATCTGTTTAAAAACTCTACTGTGGACGATGAGAGTAGAGAAATTGTCTGAAAAGGGCACCAATGTTTGTGGCTCTTCCACTTTTTTTTAAATCTAAGATTAATAATATTCTGATTCACAGTCTAATTTGTAAAAAAGCCTCATTTTATATACATAATTATTTCCCTCCCTCTCAGCCACAATGCATGAAAACGACCTTTTTGTATATTACTTAATTCCTAATAAATACAAAAAGATTGTATATATTGAATAATACCAAAATAAGATAATAAAAAGGGTATGCAATAAATTAAAAGGCAGCTCAAATAAAGGGCAGTCATGCAGTTAAAAAAAAACAACCACTAAGATTGTGGAGGTGGGGTTACTTGCCTCTTGGTTGAGAAGGTGTTGCACAAAGCATACCTGAAAAACTTTGGAAAGAACATAGCTCCCATGTGATTCAAAGTTACCTAGGTCTATGACACTCAAATACCTTTTGATGGGGTGGCATTAACTTGATTAGTAAAATCACTTCTACTGAAAATCCATTTAAAATATGGAAGAGGCGATCCTTGAAAACCCCAACTTTTATTCTTGAAAGACAGCTGGATAAACTGGCAAAAGCCAGTTTTGTTGAAATTTCAAGATGGTATAAAAATGCTTCCATATAGTCAGCATATTCACGTTCACTTCGGCTCCATTCAGATGGATTTCAGCTTCCAAAGGGCACACTGCTTGCTAGACACGCATCCATCTTTTGCCAACTTTGATTGTGAGGTACTAATACAATGGATCAAGTTTTTAAAATTTTATTTAAAAAGAATAAATGATGCTGGAATTCTGGACCTGAGGATCTTTAGTATTTGAACAAATCCACAGATTAAACTGAAGGTAGAGGAAGACTTCAGTTTTCGTGATTTCCAACTTTTCTGTTAGATGTATATTCCATTAAAGCTCAGGCTTGTAGCCACTGTTCCTTTTTCAAGTTTTGTGGTTTAAAATCCAGACAACCAGTGGCCGAAACAGCCGAATTAGCCTTAATTCACCGGCTCACATGGTGGAGCCACAGGGATCCGGCTCTCGTCCATACCTGAGCCATTTCTTGGTCATGACCTCCATGTTTAAGAGATCGGGGAAGAACTTTAGTGAGCAGCAACCAATCCACTCAAACAGTTTTTCCTTGTGCTTTATGCCTGATTTTTTCTTGTGCCTATCTCAGCAACCCCGATGTAAAGCTGCTCTTTCATCTTCAAAATTTTTTGCCAACTTTTAAAATATTTTAGTAACCAATTCTAGTTCAAGGTTTGACTTCTGAATCCATTTGCATCCTGGAAGACAATTCTGCAAAGACAAGACACTGGCCTTGGTCCAGATATGGTGCAAAGCCTTTAATCTTCAACAAAATGGACCCGATTTGTTCTCGTATTCCCCGGTGACTTTTTGAATTCCTATTTTGCCTTGTCCATGATTAAAGTTGCATTCCTTTTTATTAAACCTGTACCCTCAGAACCGGGTAACTGCAAAGGTCTCTCTCTTCTCAAGAATTCCGTGAAGACCTAAATCCAAAACGCTGATTTCAATGGAGGTGAAGGAATAGACACTGCAATAGTAAGGTCTGGAGAGATCTTTAGGTTCCCAAGCACAACACAAGCTCAGCTGTTATCACGAGGTCTGGGTAGCTCAGAAGTGTTCCTCGGCCCAGGGTGTGGGAGGACCTATCCCCCACCGGGGTTACCCCGATGGCGTCGGGCCCTCAGCGGGGAAACCGCAGAAGCTGGGACTGGTTTTGCTCGGGTGAGGAGACGCTGTTCTCTTTGCAGGTTGCTGTCCGCTCCTGGGAACTTGACGGCTTTTTCTCTCTAATTGTCCGTGACTGTCCTCTTATGGTGACGTCTCGTAATTAACTACATTATTTTAAACGTTGTTTTCTCCCGGTGGGCCTCCCTTGCTCCCCCACCAGCTCACTGGGGATGAGACGAGGGGATGGAGGTGGGGGCGGAGGCCCGTAGGGGAAGCGGCGTGTCTCAGTCCTCATCCACCTCCTCGCCCTCGGACTCGTCCCCGCCGCCGCTGCCCGCGCCGCGCCGCTCGTAGAGCTTATCCCGCTGGCGCTCCTGGATCTCCTTCATCTCCTCCGCATACCGGCAGAAGGCGCCCCCGAACTTGCCCCAGGCCTTGAAGGGGACGGTGATGGCGTTGCGGTAGGACGGCTTCACCTCGCTCACGCGCAGGAACACCCCGTACTTGTTGCAGCCCACGTCGAAGAAGAAGCGCTTCGAGTCCACCGTGATGGAGGTGCCTTCCGGGAGCTCCCCGTACGGACCGCCGCCGGGGC